TCGAACAAACTCATTGTACGTCATCACCTAGTTTTTTTAAAAAAATTGTACAAGGCTCGAAATGGTCACACCGGCCTGCATATGAAGAGATGGGACGACACGTTAGGATATAAAAACATTTCTCAAATAGCAAAAACTTGAGTTTTTGATTGACTTGATTTCTGGTAAGTATCTTTCTATTAGAAAGAGTCACAATTACATCGTTCGACAACAAGGTCTTTAGTTTTATAACTTAATTTTAATACACTAAAGGCCTGTTTGGGAATAGCTTTAGAGATTAGCGTTAACGTTTTAGATAAAAATTTAATGATACAAATTACTTTGAAAACGCTAACACTAAACGCTGCTCGTAGATAGCTTTTTAAAACGCTAACGCTAATCGCTATAGTTATTCCCAAACAGGTCCTAAATTATGGTATTTATATTACCGATTTTAGTGTCAATAAAACGGAACGACTTTAGAAGAAAAGAGGCAATTGACAAATTACTACGGATCAGAGTACTTTCTAGTAGGGGTGAGCAAGTACCGAACCGATACCGAAATTTCCCGAAAAACCCGGAAATACCGAACCAAAAAAGTACCAAGAAGGAACCGAACCGTACCGAACCGAATGGTCAGTACGGTATTCGGGAACGGTACGAGCCTATGAGGTGACGTCCCATACCGAAAATCCCGTACCGAACATATATACTAAAATATTATAAAAATAATACCCCGAAATAATATTTTTATATATTCCTTCACTGAATTATAATTTTTTAAAAAAAAATTGGTTCAAGTTTTATTATGTGTAAATTATACTTTTATTTGAGTTTTGATTATTGTGTATGAGCATAAAAGTATTCACAAAGATTCAAAATACTCCTTTGTTGTCATTCATTTTTTAGTTTGTGAAATATAAACTAAGTTTTTGATACGCATCTCTTGCATTTAAATATTCATTTTTTGAATTTTTCATGTTTTTTTATTTAAATTCACTTTTAATTTTAAAAAATAAAAGGGTATTGTTAAATTTTTAACGTGTAAAGTATGTATGTATCTTCATCCCGATTTGTACCGAAACCGACACTGAACCATCCCGAACCATACCGAACCGATATTTCGGGATCAGGATCGGTACGGAGTAAAATCCCATACCGAACCGAAATATTTGGTACGGTATCGGTACGAGCTAAATACCGTACCATGCTCACCCATACTTTCTAGTATTCAAGAATTTTTTTAAATTAATTCTCTATGATTTTTCATAGATATTTGTGGTTAAGGAAATGAAAATTGTTAACTGTTGGGTTTGATACTAATATTTTACTCCGAAATGAGTAGCAATAAAGCCTAATTCTTCTAATCAAATTGATTCTTAAATCTGTGTTTTAAAGACATCAGATTTTACTAAAATTAAAGTATTATTTTTGCTAAATATTTTTATGAAAAATTATTATTTTAAATTTTTTTAAAGTAATTTGTTATTGTAATGTAGTTATTTGATTAATCTTCTAAAGGTGTTTCAATAACTTGACCTTATTAGTGTATTTTGAATAATAATTATGAAATAATCTTGTACAAAGTATTTAATATGTATAAGTAGACAAAATAGACTTTAGATGAACTTAAATCAAAATTTATAAATTTTAAAGAGATCAAAACACATATAGAGTACAGAGTATTTAAAGTTGGTTAGGACTATTTGAAAAATTAATAATTTTACAGGGATAATTTAACTTAAAAAATTAAAGACCAAAAAAATCACCAAATTTACAAGTACCAAAAGCATATTTAGCCCTACATAAAATAGAACAGGAGAAGTATTGCTTCATATCGATTACTTCTCCGTTTAGAAAAGAGTAGTGCTAGAGTCACAAACAACTTAGACACAAACTTACCGATTGTGTATTTAAATTTTTAGTTTTAAATTATTTAAAATCATTTTATTCACTTAGAAAAGTGCATAAATAACAAGTTTGTGTAGTTTGTAACTCTAGGATTAAGAAAATCTTATGTAAAAACACTTCAACATTTTAATTTGAATAATTAAGGGTGATTAAAGGTCATCAAACTTAACTATGAAGTATATTTATTAGGGTAATTTACCCAAATATGACTAAAACATAATAATTTTCTCAATATAGAATCATTTGTTTTTATTTCCCAATGTAGGATCATTGATCATTAATTATCTATTAGTCATTATTCAATTAAATGTCCAACATCACTTAGACATTATTGTTCTCACTAGTCATTATTAAGTCCTATTTAGGGAATAAAAAAAATTAAATCATACATTGGAAAATGACTTATGTTTTAGTCCTATTCAGTGCAAATTTCACTATTTATTATTTAAGCCAAATTGTGTAATTTGTTTGATATACTGATCCATTTGTCCCGGGGTCCAAAAAAATACTCCATTTGTCCTGTATTTTTTAGCTTATACGCATCAATCAAAGCTTATATAAAATTTATGACAAAATAAAAATACAGAGTTAAAATTTATTAAAATTAAAAGGGATTAAAAATAAGAACCATACACTTCATTTGAAAAATTAAAATACTACGAAAGGTCCAATTCAGAAGAGTGAAAACTTAAATACAAGACCGAATAAAGTTCTTTTTTCTACATAAAAAACGTTTGACACCATGAAATTAGTCTCTTTTTTGGGACAAAAAATTAAAATGTTTATAAAGATATAAATCTTTTTATCTGCCCAAAAAAAGATTGTTTTTATTGAAAGGAAGGAGCTAGTATTGGTTGAACTTATAATAATTAAGACAAATTAATTTTATGTTTTTAATTTTTGAGAATATAACTTGGGAGTTGACAACAAATTAATGAATGAGATTTTGGGGGTGGGGAAGGATAGGATCGACAAAGGGGTCCCAACAAATGGGGAAAGAGCAGTGGTTAAATAGTAAGGTCCCATCACAATATGGGTCCGTACCCTAAACTGTAGGGCAGGCGCCTTAAAGTTTAAACAAAAACAAAACAAAACGGAGTAGTCCCCTACCCTACGGGCCGGCCCGTAAACGGGACGAGAGAGTAAACTAACGGAGAAATTTCTGACTCCGTATGACGGACGGTTGACGGCAAGCGGTCGGCTGTCGGCTGAGGAAAGTTGTCCCAACGGTCATTTCTCACCCAGTCATCATTTATTCATCATTTTATTCTACTCAAACTTCTACTCCTCAATAGTACTTCCTCTGTTTCTTAAAATCCTTCTTCTTTCAATTTTTTTGTTTTTCTTAAAACATTTTCCCTTTCTATTAAAAAATCACTTTTATCCCTACTTTTTCATACCCTACCTATCACATCATACTTTTTTCCCCCAAAGTCAAAAGAAGAACCCTTTTGAGAAACGGAGGTAGTAATCCATAGTGATTCTTGTACAATTTTAAAACATACTCACTCCGTCCCAAATTATTTGTCACATATGCTTTTTCAATAGTTGTAGAGAATTTTGTTTATTTCTAGGTTTTCATTGGTTATTTGATAAAATAAAATATTCTTGACACCTCTTATTTTGAAAAACTTTTCATGTAGTTTTTTGATATGTAAATTTTATTTTTTATTTCTTTACCAATATGTAAATAAAATGAATTGAAAAAACTTGATATTTTGCCTCGGTAATAGAAATGTGACAAATAATTTGAGACGGAAGGAGTACGAATTAGTCTATATACATAAAATTGAAATTATTTAATCATTGTAATATTTATTTTTATACAATAATGTCCTTTTCTTTATCCGACTCTTATATATTGTCCCAAATTCTTAATAATGACGTGAAAATTTACTCTAGATGACATTAAAATCTTGTTCAACAAAATAAATCATACATTTAATCTAATTTTAGTCATTATATCATAAATATTTTTGTATCTAATTTGTTTTATAAAAGAAAATAAATAAAAAAATGTATCTTTTTAGTAAAAAAAATAGTTTTTTAAATAATAAATATGAATTAATATACAAATACAACAGTTTCATGTCATTTGTAGTAAAATTGCCATCATATTAAAATGTTGGTATAATATATACTCCGTAAGAGATAAGTGAAGACAAGAACTTTATTGAACAAAAACAAATAGTATAGGGACTAAAAAAATTGATTTTGAGTACATTTACTAATTTGAATATTTTAGATAGTACAAGGGCATATACGCTATGATATACTTTGTCATCGATACTTCTCATGTCCTAGAAATATCGTCTTCCTTATTATTAAGATATGACGATTTTATACATGTATTTTCATTAATTACTTTAATTTATAAAATAAAATATTATGTCATAATTTAATATCTTGTTTTATAGTCTTTTAGAATATATTCTTTAGAGTCTAAACTCTTCACTTTTAATTTTTTTCAATTCCTTCTAATTTCATCGAGTTTTTCCAGATTCTTCTATTTGCTTCTAGTTCCTTCTAATTTTTTAGTTCCTTCTATTTTCTTTCATTTTTCAGTTCTTTCAAGTTTTCCAGCTATTCCTGTTTTCTTCATTTTTTTACTCACGAATAATATAATTACTCTGAAAATAATATGTTTTTCATGTATTATTATTACTATTTTAAGTATACTTTATAAATTATTTCAATTTTTTATTTTTTTCTCATATCATTATTTTGTGATTCACATTCATTCTTATTTTTTGTTCTATTTTTAATATAAAAAAATATGGAGTACAATAATATTGGAAAAATTTGTTTTTGTAATTTACACGACACTAAACTATATTTCAAAAATTATGAATATTTTATTAATCTAAATGAATGATATGTACACTATTCACGTGGGTAAATTTTATTCATTTTTACATGTTATGAATATTGTTATAATAGTAATAATACTAAGACTAATAATAATAATAATAATAATTCTTAATAATAACAACAATAAAAATTATAATAGGAATACTATGTAAAAAACACTTGAATATATTTTTGAAGATTTTCTTAGTTTTTTTTAGTTTCTTCCAGTCTTTTTCCTAACTTTCAATTTTTTTCCATTCCTAAAGAACAAGTTTTTAATATACTCCATCCGTCCCCAATTTGATTACAAATTGCGGGTTACGGAGTAAAATTTTCTACTTTTTGAAATCATTTTATTTACAAACTGGTATATCAATAAGATATAAAAATCACATATTAAAAAACTACGTTAAAAGTTCTACAAAATAAGAGGTGACAATAATATTTCATTTTATCAAATACTTAATGAAATCGCGTAACCAAACAAAAGTTATCGAGAGGAGAGAAAAAAAAGTGTAATATATTTAGGGACGGAGAGAGTATATAGTTTTGAAATACCGAATATGTAATTTGTACATTTATTTTTGTATTAATGATTTTTTAAAAAATGAATTTTGCACATTGTTTTAAGTAAACGATATTTTTGAGACATAAGGAGTACAATTTGATTTTAAGTATTTTTTCATGCATTCATTCAATTATTTTATTTTTTTAATTAAATTAGACAAAGTTTAATCATCAATTATTCTTAATTTCTATTGCATATTAATGCAATGAAATAAATTTTGAAATTTCTCAACAAGTTAAACCTAAAGAATTATTTTATACTAATATACATTACATTTTTTATTTAATTAAAGTTCAAAATTCGTTTAAACTAATTCAAAAAAGCATACGCGACAAATATATTGGAATAGAGGTAATGTTTAAGAAAAACATTGAAAATGACAAGTGAGGGGTTGAAAGCTAGGTTTTTGTGGTTGATATTTTTTCTCTCAAATGCTTCATTTTCAACAATACGATTTCACATTTTTAAATTCTTTGTCCAACCAAATATGGCAGGACTATTAAATTGAGACGGGGGATGTATTCGATAAAAATGAAAAAATGTAAGGGTCCGTTTGGTACACGGAATTGATGGAATTGGAATTGAATTGGAATTGAAATTTCATGGGATACAATTCCATAGAATTGAATTCTGCCAATTCTAATTCATTTTTTGCACTATCAATTCCAAATTCACACAATTTTTGTACTACCAAACACCAGAATTGGAATTGAAGCCCTCAATTCCAATTCCATAGTTTGAATTCCGTATACCAAACGGGGCCTAATTGAAATTACAAGTGCATATAGAAGAAAGAGAATTAAAATGGTCCACATATCTATTTTTTAAAATCAATAACGTGGAAAGTGTTTAAATAAAGTTAAGCACGAAAATAAAATTTATAAAATGAAATGCACATGCAGGTACAATTTCTAAAAATACCATTTCTATTTTTTGTTAGTCTATGATTATAACTCAATTTATCTTATCTCTATAACCGTCGAGCCGATTTTGAAGAACTGCCTCGAATGGACTCATCTTGTTTTGAGAAAATAAATATTCCCTCCGTCCCTAAATATTTGCCACACTTGTATTCCCGAAGTAAAATATTAAGTTTTTTCAATTTATTTTATTTACATATTGGTATAAAAATGAAAAATAAAATATACATATAAAAAACTACATGAAAAGATCTTCAAAATAAGAGGTGTCAATAATTTTTTATTTTATCAAATAACCAATGAAAACATAGAAATAAATAAAAATTCCCGCAACTTCTGAAAAAACAAATATTGTAAATATTTTGGGACGAGGAAAATAAAATGGAGAAATAAAAAATGAGATATGAATATGTGATCAAGGTTTTAAGAAGGATGGATCTTTATGAAAAAGAAACTCCGTACTATCCATCTAAAATATCTCAGCAATCCCGAGGTAAAAGTGAAAAGTTAAAAGCAGAGAAGAGGAGGGCCGGGGCGGGCCGGGCCGGCAGCTTCTTTCAAGTCTTCAGATTTGGAACCCCAACCCCCTCACATCAGACCGTTCCCTTTTGTTTGTTTATTCATTAATTTTCACTCACGTCAACCACCCAAAATCAAACTCAATCATTTTACTTTTTTTTATACTCCTTCTTTCTCAAGTTGAAGTTCTCGATAACTTTTATTTATTTGTATATTTTTATTAATAATTTAATAAAATAATTTTTATTTTATCACCTCTTATTCTATAGTGTTTTTATGTACTTTTAAATAATGTAATTTATACTTTTTATTTCTAAACTAATTTTTAGTTAACATGATTTCAAAAGTGATAGAATTTTACATGCTCTTTCAAGTGTGGTGTCCAATATGGGACGGAGAGAGTATAAAAGAAAAATTGTACCGGATATTATGAAAACATTTCACTTTTTGGAATTTAAACCCACACCTATAGATTGTATCAATCTTTAAAAAAAATGCTAGAGAACCCAAACCATTTGGCATCAAATGTACATTAAGATCAATATAGGTACACACAAATAATTAATGTCTCTGCGTTCACAGATATTAAATGTCTGAGTGTATCTGTATTAGACTTGGTGCACATTTTGTATCAAAATCTAGAGGGCCCCCTAGCACTCCTTATCAATTTTACTCCGACCCTCCAAAATTAATCATCTCATTTTTAGTTTACGAAATTTAAGAAAGAGTGGTATCGAAAAGTGAGATGTGAGTGAGTGATACTCACTCCGTCCCAAAATATTCACAACATTTATTTTTTCAGCAGTCGTGAGAACTTTTGTTTATTACTACATTTTCATTGGTTATTTGATAAAATAAAATATTCTTGACACCTCTTATTTCGAAGAACTTTTCATGTAGTTTTTTGATATGTAAATTTTATTTTTTATTTTTATACCAATATGTAAATAAAATAAATTGAAAAAATTTGATATTTTACCTCGAAAATACAAATGTGGCAAATATTTAGATACAGAGGGAGTATTAGATGAGAGAAAAGAAGAAGTTTTTGAAACACAAAACTGAGTATGAAGAAATTACTTTCTTTGTCTCAATTTAAATCATTGCTTTCAGTTTGCGATGTTGGAAGAATGTTTTAAAAAAGTACATATAAATAACTAATCGGCATATCAAAAATTCTATGAAACAAGCTAAGATGTGACATGACTATATTATTTTATTAAATAAGTAAAAAAAGTTGGAGAAGAAAGTAAATACAATTTGATCATATGAATAGTAAATAAAAAATTTAATTTGGACAAAGAAAGCACGAGAGTGAGATACACAACAAAAAATACGCGGCATTGGCACGGCCGTTGGCACGGACTGTAGCATTAAATTTCCGTGACTATCAGTTTTGGCACGGACATTTGGCACGGACGGTGGAGCTGCCAATTACGGGGCTCCAAACCATTTGGCACGGAAATGCAGCCGTGCCAAACGCTTGGCACGGAAATGCAGCCGTGCCAAACGCTTGGCACGGATTCTCTGTGCCAACCTAACGCCACTAACAATTTAACGTTTAAGTTATTGGCACGCCGCACCCGTGACAACCGTCCGTGCCTAGTTTAGCACGGATTGTTGTAACGATATTTTCCATGCAAAAAAAAATTTTGAAATTTGAAAATTGAAAGAGGCGCCAATACTTGAAATTCCAATATTAAAAAATTCAAAATTAATTTTGGCACGGCCTTAATCCGTGCCATTAGTTTGACTGCTAAAGTAGTGAATTTTCATGAATATTTTAATTGCCCGTTATTTAACTTAATTTGGCACGATAAATATCCGTGCCTAATCTTATAAAAAAAATAAAAAAAAATTAAATTTTTTTAGATGAAATAAATAAAATCAAATTTATCTAGTAAACATTTAAATATAACTAAACATTAAAACATGTTAAGCATCACAAAAAACATGTTCAACATCACAAAAATAATATGTTCCACATCATAATGAAAAACACAAAAACCACATGCAATAAACACATATTGCATACTGGTTAAATATTAAAAATTATTTTTAATGTTACTAGTTTAAAAAACTAGCAACATCACAATTTTCGTGATTGTTTTCTTCGGGGACTTCCTGCACAGGATTATTAGATATTATAGAGGGGACTTGAGATTGATGAAACATAGGCATGGGCATGGAGGACATGAGAGGTTGTGAGGCGAAAAAATATGCTGGAGTTAGGGTATTATTGAGCAGGGGGCTTGGACTTCTCGGAAGAGACATCAAAAACGGCCGAACAACATTTGGAGTAGGGGCGGCAGTACTATTCACGGAAGCATTGTACCCCTGAGTCAACAAAGTAAATGATTCTTTCAATCCCTGAAATTGTGTTAACAAGTCCTGGGATTGAGCTTCATATTTCTTTTCCAAAGCAGCACTCTTTGCTTCAAATTTTTCCTCCAACTCTTTCTTCAAGATGGCAGCATAATCTTCATGACTAGGGCCTCCGGATGAAAAAGACCCAGAAGCACCCGCTTCACAGCCCTGCCCAAAAATTCTGTTCTTCTTCCTCCCCACCACGTCAACATACAATCCAAGATCATCTTCAAGTTCTTCATCAGCAATATCTTCCACATCCATAGAATTTGAGTCAGATCTAGACACCGCCTGCTTCTTTTGGACAAGCTTCTCCTTGTATTTTTTCTCCATTAATAAAACAAAAAAACAAATATCAATAGTTATTAGTCTAATTTAAAATAAAAAAAATCATTATTCAAAAATGATAAATAAAAATAATAACTTTTAAGAAAAAATAGCTATTACCTTGATTTGAGCAACTTCTTCAGACGGCTCCGCTCCTTTTTTCACAAACAACCTGTTAATAATCTTCAACTGGGTTGGAACCACTTTATCCTCCATCTCCTACAAAAAATTTAATTTACTTCAAACCAAAGGAATGACAAAAAAACATAGGTATTTGAAACACAAAATAATACGCTTACCCTCTTTTTCACATGCTCCCTGACTGAGCGACGACCACCGTAGTATTGCCTCTGTTTAGCCTTCTCAGTGTTCCTGTTCTTGTTCGACTTCTCGCTCTTAACTCTAAACTCAGGAGATGCCCAATACTGAAGCATCACTCCCCAGTGATCTGTACCAATGAACTTTGGCTTCTTATTCTTGTTTCTTGCGTTCATGAACCTTTTTGTCAACCAATGGGACCCACGAGAATTGAATGCACCTTTCATTGCTTTATATGTCTCCACCGAGTCTTTCCCGGGTAACCACGTGTAGCGAAGCTACATAATTAAAGGTAACAGTTCGTACAAAATAAACATCAAATTTTTACTTTTAAATCCAATATTAAGAGAAGTGTTGTGATTTTGATGTGGTCCAATTTAATAACTAAGTGATGTAGTCAGTGGTTATCCATCCATCGGTTAAATCTTAAAACTTTTAGTCATTATGGCCAAATGGGGTCTAATGTGCGATAATCAAAAAAAATAAAAGTGTGTATCAAGTGTTAAGGAGTACATATTATACTGTAAATTATATAGGTGTGCTTCACTCCTATATACGCAAATCATCGTGTCAAACCGCGTTTAATCAAAGCATTTTTGTTGTACATCCAACTTCTTGCTGAGATTGACATAGTACCTGAAACAAAAATGCTAAAAATCATAATCATTTTATTTATATATTGGTATATCAATAAGATATAAAAATTACATATTAAAAAACTAAGTCAGAAGTTCTACAAAACAAGAAGTGATAAGAATATTTTATTTTATCAAATACTTATGAAATCACGTAAACAAAAAAAAAATTATTGAAAGAAGAAATTTTTTTTTAAATCTATTTAGGGACGGAAGAAGTATATACCAATCAATAGTAAAATAATTTTGGAACAGGGAATGACTAATTCATCCGGATTCAAATTTCAAAATGTTTAAGGATCTCAAGTAGGCACGACTTTAGGCACGGCGTATTTGTGTGCCAAAACCTAATGACACAAAATCACCTGTCACAATGTCACTTCATGTCACCCACTCTACTTTTGGCACGAGCGTTGGCACGGAACAGGCGTGCCTACAACCATTTTTAAAAAAATGCCACTCAACTAATTTTATTATTAAAAAAATAGGCCGGAAAAATTGATTTCTTATTTTTACCATAAATTATGGAAACAATATATTACTCTTCTGTTCAAAAATTGATTTCTTATTTTTAACATAAATTATGGAAACAATTTATTACATTAGCATATAAACTTCATTTCAATATACTTATTTTGAAATATACCTTTGATATATTATATTTTATAATATATATCTATACATAAATAGAGAAACATTAACGATTAAAGTGTTGCATTGAAATAATTAAAATGTTAAATGGATATAATCTAAACAAATGCATATTTAAATTAATAAATAAGTATTTAATTTATTAAACTTGATAGTAAGAATACTTACCGGCAGGATATAATCAAATTCAAACACCTGAAAAATATTTGCAGGAACACCAAATATATTTATGGTCTTGTATTTCATCAAAATAATGCATATAATATTTTTTCTGATAACATATTTATAATAGAGTACAAGGCTGATGTTGTTCTTATATAGGGATTTCAGAAGCAGTTTTTTGGCATACATTATAGGCATGACTGTTTACAAAAGTGAAAACAATTATTGGCATTCAATAGGCACGACAATTGGCACGGCAATTGGCACGACATATACGTGGTTGGAATTAGGCACGACATTTGGCACATCTTCGTCCCGGCGAGTTTTTAGAAATTAACGTTGTCCGACGGAAACGAAACAGCGTAAAGGTTGTGATTTTGGCACGGACCGCAGGCACGCACAAGGTAGTGCCAATTCAGGCCTTGCACAACATTGCACCATGTGGCGTTTACTCTCCATCGGCAAAGGCACGGCACTATCCGTGCCTAAACATCCGTGCCTAATGCGCGATTTTTTTGTAGTGGATAATTATTTTGAGACGAACAAAAGAAAAATGTGACAAGTAATTTAAAACGGATAGAACATTTATTTTAAGAAGACTGTTTCAATAATAATATTCATGATTGCCCAATACGAAGCACTCATTGCATTTCAAAAAAAAATGACACAAGCATTAAAAATTATAAATTGTTTAAAAATTCTCTGTATAGGTGACAAATATGGTAATGCAAATTACCTCTGTCCTCTATCTACGCGGCTTAAAAAATGACACCAAACTTTAAAAACAGATAAGATTGTATATTTTGTATTAATGTTAAAAAATAGCATAAAATAAAAATGAATATGAATTATATAATCAGTGCATGATGTGAATGTGTGGTGCTTTTGAGTGGAACAAAAAATATTTTTTATGTAAACTATTTTATATACTCCGTCTTCAAAAATTGTCATATACATAGGATAATAGCTATTCAAAATTATTTTGTAAATAATTTCTCCATCTTAAAATGTTTGCCAGCATTTGAAAAAAGAAACAAAAATTTAAGTTTTTTTTTCAATCCGTTTTATTTCAGGATTGATATAGAAATAAAAAATAAAACTTACATATTTAAAAACTACAAGAAAAATTTCTCGAAACAAGATAGAAAATGAATATTTTATTTTATCAAATAATCAATGAAAACAAATAAATAAACAAAAATTTTAGTGACTTGTGAATTATGGAGTACTTAATTCTAGTTTCTTCCTTCCCAAATTAACAATTCACATTTGATTCCACGACAAAGTTTTAAAATGGTAAATTCTTACATGATTCTATTGTTCATACTCATTTTAGAGAAAATACTAGAATCACAAACTCTTCAGTCACAAAATACACAAACTTGTTATTTGTGTATTTGAATGTTTACTTTTTAATTATTTAACATTTTTTTATTTATTTGGTGAGATGCCCGGCCTAATGGCAAGTTTGTATATTTAATTTTGTGACCGTTGTGAGTCTAGCATTTCTCCTCATTTTATGGACCATAGTTCATTTGTTATTATAAAAGAATTGAGCCTTTGGTAAAAGAGAAAAAGTCTACTTGTATGTCCATTAAAATGTAAAAAAGATACACATTTCACATGTGAATTTTAAGACCTCTGAAAAATAAAAATTTTTTAAAAAATAAAATTATAAAATTCAAAGTGAAAAATAAAAAAAAGAAAAAAAACATTACCACACATTTTAAGACCCCTAGAGTATATTTTTTGAATGACATGGAAGTGAGAAATTTTACTAATAAATCAAGAGCACCACCAAATATATTTAATATAATGTAATTAAGATAATGTAAAGGTCACTCCTTGCGTTCCAAAATATTCTTCTTTTCAGTCTGAAAATATGTTCTCACATTTCCTTTTTAGTCACNACCCCATACTCGCGGTTTCAGTGCTTTAAAAGCAATGGCCTCCCCGAAAATCTCACATTCGTCTCCAATCTTTCTGTCTTCAGGAATTCAGAAATTCACCTTTGTCCGTAGAACACCGCGCGCTCATCGGAATTTTACGCGTTTAATGATATGGAAGACGATATTATCTACCCTTTGGACTCCGATCTTGATCTGAGCTTCACCAGCTCATCCGCGGCCTCTGTTTCCACCACCGACCGGAGCACTCTCAGCGCCCGGAGCAGCCTCGCCAGAAGCAGCTTGGCTCTCAGCTTCAACGACCGTCTCTCCGCCGCCGCAAACCCATCCTCCACTTCGATTCCAAACTTCTACACACGCCCTCACAAGAAGCAGGGCCCGAACTGGTCTGCCATCAAGGCCGCCACCACCCTCTCCTCCGACGGCTCCCTCCATCTTCGCCACCTCAAGCTCCTCCGCCTCGTTGGATCCGGGAACCTCGGCCGCGTGTTCCTCTGCCGCCTCAGGGACTCCGACCACTCCGATTTCGCTCTCAAGGTCGTCGACCGGGAGAGTCTCACCGCCAAGAAGATGTCCCACGTTCAGACGGAGGCGGAGATTCTCTCCGTGCTCGACCACCCTTTCCTCCCTACGCTCTACGCTCATCTCGAAGTCTCCCACTACACTTGCCTCCTAATTGACTTCTGCTCCAACGGCGACCTCCACTCCCTCCTCCGTAAACAACCGCGGAGCCGCCTCCCGGTAGACGCCGTTCGATTCTACGCCGCCGAGGTGCTGGTGGCGCTGGAATACCTCCACTCGCTGGGGATCGTCTACAGAGACCTCAAGCCGGAAAACATTCTCATCCGGGAAGACGGCCACATTATGCTCTCCGACTTCGACCTCTGTTTCAGATCCGATGTCGCGCCCCGGGTCGATATTCAAAACCGGGTTCGGGTCGGGTCAAACAACGGGTGCGGGCTTGTCGCGAACAGGGGACGGGAGGAAACGGTGGCGGAGTTCGTGGCAGAGCCGACGGCGGCGTTTTCGCGGTCATGCGTCGGGACCCACGAGTACTTAGCGCCGGAGTTGGTCAACGGGACCGGCCACGGCAACGGCGTTGACTGGTGGGCGTTCGGGGTGCTGGTGTACGAACTGCTGTTCGGGACGACGCCGTTTAAGGGGAGCAGTAAAGAATCGACGCTGCGCAACATAGCGGAGACCGGCGGAGTGAGGTTCCACGTGGAGGAGAGAGAAACGGAGGACCCGGGAATGGCGGAGGCGAAAGATTTGATAGAGAGACTGTTGGTGAAGGACCCACAGAAGAGGCTGGGATGCGCCAAGGGGGCGACGGACATCAAACGCCACCCGTTTTTTAACGGCGTTAAGTGGCCGCTGATCCGAACTTACCGGCCGCCGGAGCTACGGGGGCTGGTGGTGAAGAAGAGCAAGAAAGGAGCGTACGGTGGCGGAGTTTCGCCGTCGAGACGGCGGCGTTGCTGGTGGAAGAGAGTCGGGGATTTAGTGAGAAGTAAGGGGTCAAAACACAAATTAAATTCTAATCAGAATTATTACAGTTGTGCCACCAAGAATGGGAAAATTGCATGATACCCCTCCAAATTTGTGGGTATTTTTTTGTTTGTTACGTGAATTTGTGTGAACTAGTTGAAAAGACGCATAACAATTTTGGTGCTGTAATTTGTTGGGTGTTCGTACATATGTATGATTCGATGTACATTATGAAAAAAATAATACCAAGTATGAAAAACATGGTTATTTATGTGATTAAAATTAATTTGTAGGCATCAAAATTTGCATTTTCTGTGAGATATTTTGATTCATTGGAATTTCTATACAACTTTGATATAATTTGATAATAATTGATTTTATTGAATAATGAAGAATGCATCTTTATATATAATGATTACAAAAAAAGTTCTAATATAAGTGAGAGAAAACTATAGTTGCAATATACTCCGAGGTAATAAGGAAGTAATGTAATAAGAGAGACAATAAATAATAATAATTTATTTTAATTTATATCTTTCTGTCATATTGTATTTGTCCAATTTGATTTTTCGAGACAAATAGGATGAACTTTAAACTTTAATTAAACAAAAATTGTAATGTATATTAGTATAAAAATGATTTTACTAGATTTATCCCGTTGAAAATTTTTAAAGTTTGATTTAATTGTCCAAAAATATAAATTACAAATTGGGAGTAATAGAAGTTCAAAGTTTGTCCAATTTAACTAAAAAAGGAAAAACTGAACAAATACACTAAGGCGGACGTACTAATACATTTTAATGTATTAGACAATCTTTGATTATACGGAGTAAATATCAAAGTGTTCTTCAAAAAATACTCCCTTACACTAAAAGAAATGAAAACGATAAGAAAAATATTTTTCTTCTTTAGTTAGAGACAAAAAAGAAAAGAAAAGTGGAAAGAAAAGAAAATAAGAAGACAAAATATACTAAGAGAAAAAAATCAAATTCCTCCTATTTTGATAAAAAAAATAAAGAAAACTTATTTTCTTTCTTTTTCTTCTGAATTTCTTGAATCAAACATAATGTTAATGTCAAAATAAAAAATTGATTTTACAAACTTCACAAAAAAATGTTTAAAAAGAGAGAGAAAATTATTAGAATTTAATACTCCCTCCGTCCCTAAATAAAGTTCCATTTTTGACTTTTTGAGGATTTAAGGGAGGGATATTTTGGTGTTGACTTTCCAAAAATACCCTTGATGTGATGTGTTAAAGTAAGATGTGATAGGTAGATTATTAGTAAAAAGGTATGATGTGATAGGTAGGGTTTGAAAAGGTAAGAGGTAAAAGGGGTTTTTTAAGGGAAAAGAGAAGTTTATTTAGGGACAAAGAAAAAACAAAAGAGAAACTTTATTTAGGGAGGGAGAGAGTATAAAGTAAGACAGAAACGGGTACAATTTAATAATTTATAAATGAAACGCAAGAAATGTGGTTTTAATTTAAAACTTGGAAAAATGTAAAAAAAAACAAATTTTCAGTAATTCTAAACAAAGCCTAACAGTAGGAAGTAGGTGATATTAGTACAAGGAACATTAATGAGTTGTGGTTTGCCAGTTAACAACAATCTGGTACCTCAAAACAAGTCAACCTAAGGAGCACATTGAATTGAAAACTGAGAAACAAAAACCCTGTATGTACAAGAGCAGATATATATACTATCTTTGTCCCACTTTCTCTGTCTACTTTTGACTTTTGGAACTGTTCATCTAAACACTTTGATTCATCAAATTCTCTCAATGTGTAAGCCTAAATATAGTCATGTGTGATCTTTTTTGATTTGTCTTAACATATAGATTATTAATATATAATTTCTATAATTTTTTAATATACAAATTACAAGATAAAATGGAATAAAGAAATGCATTGGATGGTGTGTAAAAATGAAAGTGGACAAAAACAGTGGGACGGAGGGAATATATATATATATATATATATATATATATATATATATATATATATATATATATATATATATATATATATATATATATATATATATATATGTATATATATATATATATATATATAGATGTAAAGTGAAGTAAATTAAGAACCATGCTACACTTACACCATAAAATATACTACATTTGTACACCACAGGTTTGCATAAATATTTCGATGGTTCACACCGACACAAGTGTTGGTGCGTTAATAAAAATTCACACAGACACAAATGTTGGTGCATTTAACAAAAAATAGTTTTACACTAACAGAAAGTGTTGGTGCAAAACTACGGGGTACAAATTGGAATACAACTCTTGGGGTACACATAGCATAATCCGTAAATTAATTACTGTAAGTGTTTGGGGCGAGACTTTCAAATGGTACTTTTTGGGGACAAGACAGGAGTTATGAACCTTAATTATATGGATACATGAACTAATTAACTATGCATGAACAATATGTGAGATGACAGTGCATCCATAAATTATGGGTGCCGATTGTCCAAACTAGCAGATTTTTGTTACCCGTCTTGCACAAATTTTGTTACGCGTCTTAGATTATGGAAGGAGGGTTTTAGAAAACTTGATGATGTATAAAAAGGCATGACATGGAGTAATCAAGATATGTGTGTTGTAATGGATGTGAAAGAAAGTTATGAGGTGTGAGTATGCATTAAATCTTGATTGATTAAAATGTTAAAAAAATACTCTCTCCGTCCCCAATTTGATTACAAATTGCGGATTAACCCTTGATCTATTAGCTCGTACAAATCGATATTTGGTCTGATTTTCAAGATATTAGTTTGGGAAGGAAAGTAGATATTAATTCTCACTATGATTTTGTTAGTTACTCATTTCGTTATGATACTTGTATGTTAGTCATTTAAATATAATTATTTCATACACTTTAATTCGTTAAGCCATTAGAGATAAAGACTTTAGGGTTTTTTTTTCATCTCGGTCTAGGCCATCAAATTCTCAGGACCGGCCCTGGCTATATGGTATGGATCCCTCATCTTCTCTCTCCCTTCTGCCAATATAGGAGGACATCAACATTTCCTTTTAGTTCTCTTTCCTTCCTTTTCCAGGGGTGTGGTTATCCTTCTCCTTCCCCTTCTTTTTTAAACTTTAAAACTTGTTGTGCTGCATCTACCGGTCCGAAATTATAAAGAATTTCATTCGTATTGTATCCGTATAAGTGTGCGTTTCGTCTTCGAAAATCATGTTATAGTATAACACAAGTATGCGTGGCAAAACCAGAATAATGTACAAATAAAGTAGATGAAAGAAAAGTAGAATAATATGATGATTTCGTTTGAGAATGAATGTGAAAGATGGAGAACAAAGTGTTTAAAATAAGTGAAATTTGCACTAAATAGGACTAAAACATAATGACTTTCCTAATATAGGACTTAAACTTTTTTATTTCCTAAATAGGACTTAATACCGACCTCGTGGGAGGAATAATGTCCAGTAATGTTAGACATTTACTTGAATAATGACTATTTATTAATGACCAAAAGTCCTACATTGGGAAATAAAAACATATGGTCCTATATTGGAAAAGTTGTTATGTTTTAGTCTTATTTAGGTAAATTTCTCATAAGAAGATTTTTTAATAATAACAAGGAGAGAGACGAACGAAAAAACGGGAGGGGGAACCCGCCCTTTCCGTTCTCGCATATGGGGTGGTGTTTCCCTTTTCCCGTTGATGCCTCGAAGGCATACCCCATAGCCTAAGACAACGATAAATTTCTTTGATAAATTTAAAAATTTATCACTCCAGATTTTTAAATATGAGATACTTCATTTGTAAGTATTTTTCTAATTTAACATTTGACTTTTTACAATTAAACTAAATAAATTTTGATTGTGAATGTGATAAAAACTTAATTGCTTCCTCCATCTTACAATAGATTACACTCTTCAAATGACACACAAAACTCTGTTTCAGATATACTCTATTTTCAAATTGATATAAAAATTAAAAATACTATGTATAACTTACATATATACTTTCTCCACCCTAAATTATTTTATACTTTACGCAAAATGAAATAATTTTTTTAGTTTTTAAATTCATTTTATCTAAAGAATGGTATGTAAATTTAAATAAAACTTACATATTTTAAAACTAATTCAAAAGTTTTACAAAAAAGGAAGTGAGGAAAATATTTTTTATCTAATAATCAATCAATACGACAATTAAGCAAATGTTTCCGTGACTTTTGAATAGTAAAGAGTGTAATTTTTTTGGGCGGAGGGAGTATTACAAATTAAAGTTACGTAAAAAGTTCATCAAAACAGAAGTTGACGAGAATATTTTATTTTATCAAATATTAAATAGTTGATAAAAATATACAAGTACACAAAAGTATCTGAGAGTCTAAAATAGTAACAGTGTTGATGGATACATTGGAATGGGGGTATTCGGCCCAACAGGAATAACGGCCCAACAAGGCCCAGTCCAGACCAGGTGCGCTCGGCTGGACAGGATTGAGAAGGAAACCAAGACCCCAGGGGAGCTGCCACATCTGGATACACCCATGCTCGGCCCGAAGAGAACGCGCTCAGTCTTGGATCGTAGTCGGCCGGCTCTTCATCGGAATTCCCCAAAGACCAACCTATGCGTACTCGGCCTGAGCTACCGCTGGGTCTGGCCCACAGCGTAAGGGGACCTACATGTCTTGTCAAATCAGTGGGTTCGCGATTGGACTCCTACCACATTTCTGTCAGATTAGTTGTAGCCACCCTATTTGTAACCCATCATGTGTAGCTACCCTAGGGATAATCATACGGTTGGCGCTGTCGGTCGAACGGCCGACTCTTGGTGGGCTCGTTAGATTATCGACCAACGGTCGGGAAGGCCCATTTGTAATCTGTATATAAGCGCCTCTTCAAGAGGGGAAGAGACACGTTCACTTACACACTAATATCTATAATTTCTCTTGATTCATATCTTGAGCATACACGACTCTTGTTCAATACTCTTCGCCTAATTCCCAGACCCCATGGTTCCTTAACCTAACAAGTGTAATCCATCGTAGGGTAGATAGAGTATACTATATATTAATAAAATAGTTTTGAAAATATATTTTTATAAAATAAATCTAATTAAAACATTTATGTACGAGTACGTAATTAAATTTTATTTAATTTATGATTAAAGTACAAAGAATGTTTTCCTATATTTTTTGTGCTACCCCAACATATAAGCCCATATCCCCCGGCCCATAATGTTAGTAGCCCATCTCAAATTCCACAGTTCGAAAACGTCGCGCATATCATCTCACCCCTTCACCATCTCCGGGCGTCTTCTCCGAAGCCACCAAACCAGAAGGGCCGGCCGGGGCTATTTGTTAAGGCATCAATCAGCTAAGCTCCAAGCGAGGAGGTAATAAGGTTCTCTGTTAGATGATTCTACTATTAGGGATCAATGGCTGAATTGTTTTAGGCTAGGTCGATTTATTACTTCTTGTGAATTGTTGCATTGATTCGGTAATCTCTCCGATCATCTGGTTGAATTATTGAATTGTTACAGCTCAAATTTCTGCACTAAATCCCGTTCTAATGATTTCTGAAAGTTAATTTCGTTTCTCCAAGTTCGAACTCTAATGTGTATATATTTCCCTATAACCCATTATCAAATAAATGAACTTTATAGTTGAATCCTTTTCACTTTCACCTCTTGTGTTTAGAGCAGATCCACAATGGGTACCAGGTGTACATTGTTGTCCATTTCGTCCTTGGAGTTTAACTAACATTAATTTGTTGGATTTTGCAGTCATGGCTCTACTGACATGGGATCAATCTCTCGGGGTATCGAATCCTTTGACCAGCATTACAACGTTTGCTGCTGCCACTGCTTTTGCATTCACGGCTAAGTTGGAACCAACACTAGGAACTGGTAAAACAAATTTCCTCAAAATTCGTATATGCATATACTCCATATGTATGTGTGTGTGTGTGTGATTTCTCTCAAAAAGTGTTTTGTGTGCCGTGTTTTATCACACTATTTATTTCGGTAAACAAATGTGCGCAGTAGAGTAGCTCTTGCTTCGAGATTAACTGGCCGAAGCTTTGCTAGAGGAGATATGATAGGCAAAACGATTTACTCCATATAAAAACAATAGGTTTTCAAATGCGGTCATCAAATGGACGCTAGGTGTATACTTTATACAGATTATAGAATGGGTTTTCACATCTCAGTTATTGATACTGCTTAGTTGAATAGTTGATGTTTAATGTCTTTGTGTTACATCGCACTCTTTGGTTTATTGTCTAGACCCATATTTTTCTCACAGTTGATTCAATTTTTTCAGCTAAAACTAATATCCCCAATCTCCCAAGAGCTAATCGCCAACGTCAGACATCCAAGATTTGGAACCAGTCTAAGATACTCACAAAATCAAAGCCATTTGAATGTAAAAGTTTGCACCTCTCAACAAAGCACCATTCCTTTGTGGCAATAAGGTCTATCAGACAATTCGATCGACCACATTCCTCCAGTTTTCTGTGTGCAGCCGCATCTGTAAGTAGTATTGGTACTTAACAAGAGCCTGTTTGGGATGACTTTTGAACAAGATGAAACCATTTCTTTTAAAAGAAATGTTTTGTTTCTTTTACAGTGCTCCGTAATAATAAGATTAATTCTACAAAATTGGGAATCATTAAATTTTTAGCTTCAATAGGATTAAAAACATCCCTCTCAGCAACAAATACACCAATTTGGTGCTCTTCAGAAAAGTACTTTTGGAAATGTTTTTTTTAATTAGCCATTCCAAACTGGCACTCGGACTTTGTGGTAGTTTATCTCAAGTTATTGTAAGCCATCACACGTGTCTTTTGTAGCTTATTGTATTATTGACATTTCATGCAAATATAGGTCTATTGTTGTAGTTACACGCACCAATGTATGAAAGAAATGCTAACATCAGGTTATCAAAATATTTATTCTTACATGTGGATCAATTTCAGGGCTCAACACAAACTCTGCCGCGTGTAGAAAACCCCAAAACATCAAATACTGCGCCTCAAATTGGTACTTCGTCTATTATCTTTGCATTATTAAAAATACTCCATCCTTGAAAAAAGTGAGCTATTTCAAAAGGTTGTCTTGTCCAGAAAAGGAGCCATATTTCATTAAATGAAACTGTATTTTCATAGATTTTGCCTATAATTTGCTTAAAAAAATTGTCATGACCAAGTTAGAGATGCTGCATTGCTTAGCCTATAATCAAGTTTTAAGTATTTAAATGTACTTTCGTGATTTTTAACTGTTGTATTGATACAACATGTAAAAGTTGAACTCCGTATATTATCAAAATATGACTTTTTTGGGGACGAGAGAGTAGTACCATTTCATTTGCATATAGGTGTGGCTGTTTGTTTGGGTGCATGTAATGTTTTCCAATGTGTTCCATAACAGAAAGTTGTGCATTTCTTTATGGATATTCTTGTTGCAATGGCTCTTTGTTTTTTATATATTCATTTTTTAACCTATCACTTCAATACCTTTTTTTTGTGTGTCCTGCCATCATTTGCAATTCTTGCGCTTATAAGTGGGCATTCAACTGATCGCAGATAAGAGGAACCCGTCCACGCCAAGACTTGATGACAGCGGGCCTAATCTTCCACCATGGCATCGTGGAGGCGGGGGAGGGGGCGGGGGTGGAGGAAACACATCCGGTGGATTCTTTTTATTTGGTTTTCTTCTTCTTCTATCGCATCTGAAAGACGAGGAGGAGAAACTAATAGAGAGGAAGAAAGCCAAAAACATTCAAAAGGGAGGCTTATTAGGTACAACTCAATGACGGAATAAATATTTGGGGGGACGAATTTGCCCTTATATACATATATCTCCCCTACCCTTAAAAAAGGATATATGTCCCAAAACAAGGTTCCTATATATGTGTGCTATTATATATTAGCTCAGAATTAGTCTACCAATAGACCCAATAGGTATTAGAAGAGAGGTAGGAACAAGAACTCCAATGTGTATTGCATCATTTCATTAGTGCAAAACATTTGGAAGGATGTGTTTTGTTCACTAAATAATAACAGTGCCAAGTTTTGCCGTTTTGGTATCTATAATGGCTATACATTATGGGGGTATTTGTTTTCCCTCTCAAACGATTATGGGAAGCCATGTTACTTCTTCAAGTTATTTGTAATTTTTTCTCATTTCTTCCAACAACGATATAATAAAAAAGGTATTTATTTAAGATGTATGTAAACTAGTATTAGATATCCAAATTTATAGAGTGATGCTTACATGGTCTGAGGTCCACATATAAAGTGGTTACTTTCTCACATTTTTTTTGTGTGCTTGCACATGGATATTTTTTTTACAACAGGCCCACATCTTTAATCATACAAATGACTGAAATTTATAAAATGAGCATGAATTTGATCAAACTTAATCCATTATAATTAAAGTCAAACGTAAAATTTATACAATTTCTCAAATATGGGACACATTGAGAAGTTAACTTAATCCATGTTAAAAGATAATAAAAATATCGTACTTAATCCATTATAATCACATCAGATCTATTTAGACTAAATCAAATGACTAAATTAAATAATATAAAATGCACTAAGTCAAAAATTAAAAATTGAGATTAGAATCCATCAAATACGCACCCTAAATTTCACTACATTTTCATTATTAGAGTAAAAAATGTCTTAATTGAATTCTATAAATATGCAACTAAAATGAGTAAAATTTAATAAGTCAAAGTCAAACATAGATTAAATATACTGCAAATCATGCAATGTCACATTAGATCCGATATCGATCACTCTAAACCAGCGGTGATTCAACCGTGCGGATTGCACTCATCATTTTACTCCCTTGACACCGGTGCGTCACTTCTACCGTAATGATTATATTTTTATTTTTTATATAATATGTATATATTTGGTTACTTTTTTCATTCTCCTCATCGGAGGGAGTAGTATATATTTGGTTACTTTTTTCATTTTCCTCGTCGGTAGAAAATTTGTCTCCCACCCCCCTTAATTTTATCAATTTTTTTTAAAGATTTGATTTTTTTGATTAATTACTCTATTACTTTATTAACTTAATAAATTATTTTTCACTAGCCCATTCTACATTCCGAAATATTCCTCGTTACTTATTAGAAAGGTACAGTATTCATTTTTTTTTTGTGTAATTTAAGATTTTATAAACCGTAACAGTAAATAGATTATTTTACAGAAAATAAATAAATTGAGCTATTTTTTTGATTAAAAAATAAGAAAATAGAATTATGTGCAAGTTAATGTCATTTCAACCGCACGGACAAACTACTCTAGACCGGGTCTATGATGGTTTGCTGAGTTTAGAAACTAAAGTGGCACAGAAAATAAAAGTTGACCGGGACGACTATAGGTGGAAACACATGTAGCCTAATTATTATTAGGATATCGTAAAGTACACGGGAGCTTTTACACAAGAGTTTTTAGAGAGAAGGATTCGGATCCCCTTCTATTGAGGGTTACATGTCTATTTATAGTAGAGCCTAGTGGACAAGACAAAGACTGACCACGTCGTCCCACGTTCCTGGACGGTGCGAGGTGACCTCTCTTGTAACGTAGTGTTTGTCCCACTCATTTGTCGGCTTGTGCTGATGGCACTTCTCTTGGCGCGTAGTGCTTGGACGATCTTCAGTCGCTACCGTCCAAGCATGCTTGGATTATTCTTGCCAACACATGTACACCCAAACTAGCCACCCAGTACTTGCCCGGGTAGTTTCTTGGAGGAAAGTCTGACCACTTGAGGATCCCCATGTAATGTCATGCTAGTTGACCGGGTGCCGAATAGTCACCCGGGTGATCTTAGTTGAAACCCTCCCAGGTAAGGTACAGATCAACCCAAACAACTTGTTGCATGGTACCTGGAATTTGCCCGGGTGCTCTTGGTTGAAACCCACCCGGGTAAGGTACAGATCCACCCAAACAACCTGCTGCATGATACCTGGACTTTGCCTGGGTAGTCTTGGCTGAAACCCACCCGGGTAAAGTATAGATCCATCCAAACAATCCTGCTACACAGTACTTAAACTTTTCGCGGGTGGTTTTGGATGAGCCTGACTCGGGTCATGAGTGTCAAAGTGTAATGGTAAATAAATTATTATATAGAAACAAATATATTGAGTTTCAAACATTTAATAGCATACAATTCAATGAAATAAAATCAATAAATAGTTTAATACGGATTAATTGAATAAAAAATAAACCTTTTTAAAAAGTTGATAAAAAATAATACGAAGTGAAAGAGAAGTGGTCATATTTTAATTTTTGAAACCTAAAGTAATAAAAGAAATCATCCTAATTAAAAATAAAATATAAAGAAAGTGTCGGAATAGGATCTCTATGAGCCTGTTTGGGAATAACGTTAGAGATTAGCGTTAGTGTTTTGGATAAATTATAACGGTGCAGATTACTTTGAAAACGCTAACGATAAATGCTGTTCGTAGATAGCCTTTTTCAAAACGCTAACACTAATAGCTAACACTATTCCCAAACAGACCCTATGTTTTTATTTCCAAAATAAGAGGTTGCCCTGTAATATTGTGGCACTGCAATGATCATTTCACAATACTTTTTGATAATGTATACGTCATGATTGACACTGTTAATGTATTTTAACTCTTATTTCATGAATAATAAAAATATGAAACTCACATTTTAGTATATATTTTCAATATTTTATTCCTACTTTAGTCTTTTTCCCAAATAATTAAGACTATTTGTTTAGTTGAAAAATTCTTTTTGGGGTTTAAATTCAACACTTGTTTTATGAATATTAGTATATGTATATTATGAATGAATTCGACTATTTTAAAAAATAAAAGATATCCAAATCGACCCATAAAAATTATAAAAAAGTCCATACTTTGCCGGTAGACTTTAGAAAAATAGAAGCACCACTCTTGCTAACATGGCAAAAAAATTACTACCACATCCGCCAAGCCCACCAAAGATTTCTCATTAGTATTACAAGATTTGACCAATTTTATTTTTAAAAATTTAAAAATAAATTTAAACATTTGGATAGTAATTGCAAAGATTTATGATACCGGTGGGCGTTACAGATTTGGTAAGGCAAAGGGTGTCAAGGGGGTAAAACCTGAGTTCGAATCCTGACTACTGCGCGAGAAGGCAAGTAGGCAACTATGCTAAACATAATTACACTCTTTGCCACAATCTACAATTAAAGTTTAATTTATCTTTTTTCAGTGACCATTCGATCGAATATGATGAAGCCCTCGGATATGGGATTACTTTTTTTTGCAAAGATTTATGGTGGAGGGAGGTCGAGATGTCAATTTATAGTTGGAGGACAGGTGACCATTCATTATAAAAGGGCACTTTCCAATAACCCGTTAATTTCGCTAGATCCTTCCGCCAAACATTGCCACTAGAATGAAAGACTCTATGCCAATCGCCATATACTTCTCCACTCCGTCCGATCTAGGGGTGTGCATTATTCGGTCCGGACCCAGATCGACCCGAAACCCGGCCAAAACCGGACCGGTCCTTATTCGGTCCGATCTCCGGTCCTCATTTTTTTCTTATTCGGGTTCCGATCCAGTCCGGTCCGGTCTACCGGGTTTCGGTCCGGACCGGTAGACCGGTTAGATTTTATTTTTTTTAAATATTTTTTTCTATATAAGTTTATAATATTGTATTTTTTAAGGTTTTTTATTATACTTAAAATTAGTTTAACTTTAATGCTAATTTTTTTTTAAATGTTTTGATTTTATTATTTAATATAATTTTTTAAATACATTTCAATTCAAAATAAGATACCAATTGCAATGCTTTTTGAATATTTTTAATATTAAAAGTGTGAAAAAGTAAACATTACCTTTATATTAGCGATCTCATGCATTTCAAATTTATGTACCAATACTATAACTTAAATTTGTACTTTATCAATAATAAAACTCTAATCCGAAAAACAAACATTGTAAACAATTTCATAAACAAAAATAGTAAAAAATGTATCTGTTTGTCAAAATAAATTGAAAACTCAAAAAAATATTACAAAAAAACAAAAATGTACTAAGAAGAAGAATATTCCCTATGCAAAATAAAAATTATGAACAAATTTTATGTAATACGGATGGAAGATATATATTTTATTTAAATTTTTTCAAAAAAATTTAAAACAATTCTGTTTGATAATGTTTAGTGTATGTTACAATTAAAAATTAGTTGTAGTAATATTTTTATTCAATTGAATACTTTAAATTAAATGAATAAAATCAAATTTTAAAAAAATTAAAAGATTTATTCGGTCCGGTCCAAGTTTTACCGGTCCGGTCCCAGGCCGGTCCTTAGCTTAATTGGTCCGGTCCTCGGTCCACCAAATGCCCCTTATTCGGTCCGGTCCGATCCCGGTCCGGGCCGGTCCGGTCCGGGTTTGACTGATGAACACCCCTAGTCCTATCTCCCCAGGCTTAAATGGACATATGCTTTCCTCTTTCTCTCGTTTTCTGAAAGCAGAGTTTTTCTTCTTCTTGTTGGGTGGATAAAAATGGCTCAGGATGAAGTGATACTGTTGGATTTCAGGGCAAGCATGTTCGGGATGAGGGCCAGAATCGCTCTGGCGGAGAAGGAGATCAAGCACCAGTACATTGAACAGGACCTCCCAAACAAGAGCGATCTGCTTCTCAAGATGAACCCGATTCACAAGAAGATCCCGGTTCTCATCCATAAAGGCAAGCCGGTCTGTGAATCTATGATCATAGTGGAGTATATTGATGAGGTTTGGAAGGGCAAGTCCCAGCTGCTCCCCTCTGATCCTTACGAGAAATCCCAGGCTAGATTCTGGGCCAACTACATTGACCAGAAGGTATGCCCACCAAGTGTTCGACAATTTGTCTCAATGGCAAAACCCCTGAAAATATATTTTCCTTGAATTGTATCCGAGTATGTGATACAATTCGTTATTTCGATATGATTGTTGCAGATGTATGAGTCTAGCAAGAAAACATGGACTACAAACGGAGAAGAAGAACTGGAGGCGGGCAAGAAGGAGTTCATAGGACACCTGAAGGTGCTGGAAGGAGAGCTGGGAGATAAGCCGTACTTTGGGGGAGACAGGTTTGGGCTTGTTGATGTTTCTCTCATAGGTTTCTACAGCTGGTTTCATGTCTATGAGACCTTTGGTAAGTTCAGCATTGAAGCAGAGTGCCCCAAGCTGATTTCTTGGGCTAAGAGGTGCATGGAGAGGGAGAGTGTCTCCAAGACTCTCCCAAATCCTCATAAGGTTCTTGAGTTAGCCAAGATCTTTAAGGAGAAGATGAGCACTGCTTAAACACTACTTACTTGTCAACCTCTTTTTCCTGAATAATGAGCTCACCCCCTTCCCTTGGGTTGGGGTGTTAGGTGCCTAGTTTGATGATCTTCATGTGTTAGCTGCTGCTGCTGCTGCTGCTGTTGTTGTTGTTACAACTTATATGTTGTCCTCTATGTAGCAAAGACACTTGAGTGTGTCTAGTGCTTATATGTTGGATTAATGTTATGGAAATAATGAATTTTATTGCATTGGCTCTTCTTCTCAAGCATATATACCACTCATCAACTTCATTGTTTAGTTGAAACACTTTGCATTGCAGTTAACCTTATCTTTTAGTTCTTGTTAAGAATTTGGATCTTCTGCCCCAACTTGTCTCTGTCACAACCAACAAAACTAGAATCCCTAATCTCCCAAGAGCCAATGGCCATCCATCATCAGAAGGCATGGGTTCGGAGGAAAAGTAATTTTACAAAAGAACAGAAAATTAGGTTATTTGGAGGGAAATCTACCTGTTTTTGTGGTGGAAGAAGTTTTGCACCTATTTTTTCTCTGCTTAGATTGAAACTGACCATGTTTGATTATGGTATTACAGCAGAAGTTTGTTTTTGTCATTTCCAAAACTTTCAACCAAACATCATATAAATATGTAGTTTATTAGTCGGGGACCCATACAACTTTTGAGTTGATGGTCTCTCCAAAACAATCTTCTTATTCCGGCGTAGGGGCAAAGTTTACATGCATTTGCATAAACTACTCTCATCGGATCCTGTTTTTGTGAGATTTTACAGAAATTGTTGTTATTGTTTTTATATTTCTAAAAACAATTAAGCTACTTCTATCCCAAAATTTGTACTTCAAATTGTACATCCCAAAATTTGTACTTCAAAGCTCATGTTTTAAAACTCTTCTTATTTTTAAAATATCAGTAATTTCAAAACGTTGCATAGACTACTTTTACTATTTTCTACTTCATTTTTTTTACGAAGAAGGGGCTTTGATGCCTAAATTTCGAACTACTCTATATCTTATTTTCCATTCATTTTTTATTTTTTTAAACTCTTCTTCATAATGTTTATTAAAATCAAAATTCTTTGTGTTTGAAATTAAAAATAAATAAAATGATAAAAATTAACATATATTTCGTCTATATGAGTTAAAACATTTTAATTTTTTCTAAAATGGAGAGAAAAGGTTTTTTGATACGTTTAAAAAAGAAAATGAGGAATAAGAAAATAAAATAAAATAAAAGAAAAATAGAAGACGGAAATAAAAAAATAAAAAGATACCAAAGATGCTCTTATAGAATTAAAGAAACTTAGACATGTGATGCATTGATAAGGTTATTTTTGGAATGTCCAAAAGAGTTGATTTTTAGATGACCCAAAAAGTTAAATATTAATTTTAATAAAAAGAGGATTTTTAAAGACTTTTTTGAATTTGTTTGGCGTTGATCTAAAAAAATCTTTATTCTTTTTTCTCTTCTTGAAAGAATGTAATGCAACAAATATTAATTTTTGAGATGCCTAAAAAAGAGTCTTCTTAGCATATTTTCTTGAGTACATTTTATATTTTCAATAAAGTGTTTTTGTATTTTTTTTCATTTCCTTTTTCCATTTGTTTCTCTTTTACTTCCTTGCCTTTTCAATTTTTTTGAATTCTTTTTTTGGAAGTAAATAAAATGAAATTTTTAAACTTGAGACATACAAAATGTATGATAATTTATTTTTATTTCAGTTATATTTATTTTACATACAAACATTTTTTGAATTTTAAAACACTATACGAAGTATTGTAATATTAAAACAAAAATTAAAAATGAAAAATATTATATATATATATGAGTAAAAAAATATTAAAAATATCAAAATATGAGTCCTAAGTCTTTATAGATTAAAATAAGAGGCAGCTGATATTCGCGCTCCATTAAAGTTAGTGGCGCTCCACTTTAATCTTTTCTTGTTAAAAGTTTACCATCTTGCCCTTATACTAATATACTGTATACGGAGTAATTGGCTAAATGCTATGGCTATTGCCCTAAAAAAATTGCTATTCGCAAACGGAGTAATTTTTTTAAAAACATACTCATTCTCCCATTCTCCCATGATGTGATAGATAGGGTAAGAATTAGCAGGGATAAAAGTGGTTTTTTAATAGAAAAAGGAAAGAGTTTGTGTGACAAAAAAAAGGAGGAGTTTAAGGGACGGAAGGAGTATATTTTATACATATGAAATTTTATATTTTTCTAATTATCCATTTTTAAACTTATAAAAAAATAATGTAAAGTCTGATGCTCCATATTGATAGGATAAACGTATTTATTAAAAATTAAATTTTAAAGTATAATTATATATGTATAAAAATTATGCATATACATATGCAAATATATATGATGCATTAAAAAGTATAAATATGTATGTATAAAAAGACTAAAGTAGGAGTATATACATGCATTAATTTTTTTATAGGTTTTTGTTTTTATTTATGGATTTTTGTTGTACATGTAAAAAAAGAATAAAATAGGAATAAAACTTTGAAAATATACCAAAATAGAAGTTCCATGTTTTTATTTTCGAAATAAGAGTTAAAACACATTTATAGTGTCAATCATGATCATTTACATTACCAAAAAGAACTGTGAAATGTCCATATTGAGTGTCAGGCCAGTGCCACATTATCCATGCAAGCTCCTATTTTAGAGATAAAACATGTAGGCAGTAGGTTGTATTTATGTACTTTCTTTATATTTTATCTCCTATTTAGGGTGATTTTTTGTACTCCCTCCGTTTCTAAATAGATAACAATTTTTTCTCTCTCTTCTCTCGATAACTTTTGTTTGTTTACGCGACTTCATTAAGTATTTTATAAAATAAAATATTCTTGTCACTTCTTGTTTTGTAGAACTTTTGACGTAGTTTTTTAATATGTAATTTTTATATCTTATTGGTATACTAATTTGCAAATAAAATGATTTCAAAAAGTAGAAAATTTTACTCCGTAACACGCAATTCGTAATCAAATTGGGGACGGAAGGAGTATATTATAGCAAAATAGGTATGTTCTAAACAAAGAGAATGAGTGTAGAATGTAAAAAAAGGCATAGGCGTTTGAGGAGTATTTTTTCACGGCATTTGAAATAGGAATCATTAGGAGAGGGGCAAGATGGTAAAATTTTGATAATAAAAAAGTAAAGTGGAGCGCCAGTAACATTTGTGGAGCGCCAATATCAACTACCAAATAAGAGTATACTGACATTGTGATGTATGTATATGCATTGACAGTATGATGAAAAAATGATGACAATGTTGATAGAAAATATTATTTGTTCCGAATACTCCAATCCGAATTTCCCAATTATTATTACTCTCTAAGTATTTGCTTTCTAATCACTTAACATTATCAACTCATCTACCACAAATATATTCATACTCAATACTTACCATGATAACATGCCCATAATTCATTTTCTAGCATAAATATACCCCCATCTCCTTCATAATGGTGGAGACCAATTTTCATATTTTCTTCTACACTACCATGTAATATGACAGTATGATCAGTCAACCATTAGTGATAGGCGACGACACTTTCGTTGTCGTTTGTGATGGATGATGGCGTGACAGTTATAGTGTGACAATGTGGTGAATGTGGCAACGCGACAATGACAATGTGAACTCGTATTTTGATCTTAAAAGACCTAAGACATCTATTTTGGTATTTTAATATTTTTTACTTTTATCCAAAGAGTTTTCCCTAAATTGTTTACCTCTTTCATAAAAAAACTTTCTTCAGGTTTTGGTTTACAAGGTTTGAGTGAAGTTATTTTCAATTCAACTTATTTAATTATAGGTGTGGAATTAAAAACAAAAATTATGCAATTTAAAAAAAATTAAAAATAAAAAAGATGATATGTCTATGTTATTTTATCAATTAATTAAATAAAATGAGTAAAGAAAATAAAACAAATGTGACAAGTAAATAATATAGGGAAAGAAATTTAGGAGGCAGGGAATACAATACTTTGAAAAGTTTTTCACTGGACTAAGCTAGTTGTATCCCAAGATTTGTACCACAATTTATACACTGCAAGTTTGCACCTTCATTTTGTATCAGTGTAATGCTAGAGTGATAGTTTATACAGACATAAAATATTAGTATAAATTTTTGTTAACGCATTGTCATTTTATGTTAATATAAATCTTCAAAATATTGATATACTGAGTATATTTTTGGTGTAATTTTGGATACACTTTTTTAGTAGGACTATGCTAGGGTGCCACCACATGGGTGCTACCATGGGTGCACCCATGCTTCGCACAGACAAATACAGACTATAATTATCTGTGCGACACAGACAATTATCATTTGTGTTTGTCTGTGCCAAGCATGAATGCACCCATGGTAGCACCAATGTGGTGGCACTCTAGCATTTTCCTTTTTAGTATAACTTCAACATGGTTGTTTTTTATTACGGAGTACTTGTCATAATTGATTTACACATGGGTGGCCCGGAGGGTGTGCAAAGTGGCCAACCGCACAGGGCCCCTATAATTTTAGGGCCCCATATTTTTAAATTTGTTAATAATTTTAAAACAAAAGTATTTAAAAAAATAAAATAGGGTCCAAAATGTAAATTTTGGACCGGGCCAATTTTATTTTTTCATTTTTCTGAGCCGGCCCTGGATTTACAAATGTGTTGTCATAATTGATTTACAAATGTGTTGCGAAGTTCAAACGAGAATAGTTATTGAGTTGAAATTCACATGAGCAGTGACGTATTCTAAGAATATTTATTGAGAATTCGAGATTGAATTCGACCTAAGCAGTGACGTAGTATGGGTCCCGCAGGAGATATGATAGTGTGCTTCTTTGCTCAATCTTTTAGACTATTCTCACATAAAAATTTATTTCATGTTTTATTTTTTAGTTATAATTTTTTTTATTAAATTAGTAAAAATGTTAACTAACTCATACTCCCTTCGCCCTCAATTTGATTACAAAATGGGTTTACGAGGAGAATTATCTCATTTTTGAAATTATTTTATCAACAAATCGGTATATCGATAAGAAACAAAAATTACACATTAAAAACCTACGTCAAAATATCTACAAAACAGGAGGTGAAAAGAATATTTTATCTTATGAAATACTTAATGAAACCGCATAAACAAACAAAAATTATCGAGAGAAAGAAAAATTTTAATCAAATTAAGGACGGAGTGTTTCAGTTTATCCGCACAAAAGTGCATGTATAGACCTTGGGTGCACTAAAATATTTGCCTAAAAAGTAATGATCCACTCCCTAAATGATAAGCAAAGTAATTAATACTCATTTCATTCTTAGTTTTGATTACAAATTATGAGTTACGAGGTAAAATCTCTTATTATTTTTAAAATTGGCATATCAATAATAAATAAAAATTATATTTTAAAAAATTACGTAAAAAGTTCTACAAAACAAGATGTGACAAGAATATTTTGTTTTATTAAATATTTAATAAAAACATACAAATAAATAAAAGTTACCGAGAGGAGAGAGAAAACATATTGTAGTCTATTTCGGGACGAGAGAGTAGGTAGGTAGTATGTCCAAAATAAAAATTCCCACACAAAATTAATTCGGAATACGAGTTATGTAAAAGTAAGATAAAATTATTTTTATAAATAATGCTCTTTTCATCCTAAAATTCTCCTTTTACTCAAATATAAAAGTAAGATAAAATTATTCTCCAGAAATAAATTTTGTTTTTGTTTTAGATTGATATATAAATAAATTAAATTAAGAAATGATTCCAGTCATGAACACTCCTCTATAATATAAAAATTATTCTACTATTTTCAAATCATGATGTGAGAACAAATTTTTAATTTCTACTAGTGGGCTTAAACAAGTGAATATTTAAGGGTAGGAAATTGGGATCTTTTTATTAATTTCTTTAATACTCCTTCCGTTCCAAAATATTTACAACATTTGCTTTTTCAGCAATTGCGAGAAATTTTGTTTATTTCTACGTTTTGATTGGTTATTTGATAAAATAAAATATTCTTGACACCTCTTATTTCGAATAAATTTTCATGTAGTTTTTTGATATGTAAATTTTATTTTTTATTTCTTTACCAATATGTAAATAAAATGAATTGAAAAAACTTGATATTTTATGTAACGCCCCGAAACATATCCTAGAATTATTATTAAATAATTATTCGTTTAAACAAATTTGTTTTGATTAAAATAAATTGTTGTTGGGCTTTGGGCCGATACGAAATATGTTTTGATATCTACTATCGCACTCTGAATAAATCTCATAGAGATAAATCCAATATATTGACTTTTTGTGTGGTCTTGATTGGAAACCTGAGTACAGACCCAAATCAAGAGTAAATGAAAAATTTGTTTATAATGTAAATATTTAAATGATTTGTTAAAATAAATCATGAGAATAATTGATATGAATTAAATATGAGAACCTTTTATGACAAAAGTCAATTAAACCAATTTTTACTCTATCAAAGTCAACCACCCAAAAATATGATGTCAGAAAAAGTATTACAAATAATTATGAAAAGTATGTCGTTGAATAGAATTCGACTGTCTGATCGCAACAGTGGGAACGGATTTCAATTTGAAGAAAGTTTGACCAAAAAGTGTACCCCAACTGGAACCAAAATTGGTCCCAATCAGGGAGACTGTGCAGACGGCGCCCCCTCCTCCACTCAGCCGATCGTGAATCATTTCCTACGCAGAACTAGCTACAGGATTGTCTTCTTCCTTCTCCATTTTCCTATATAAGGAGGAAAAACCAGCTTCCATTTCTGCACCAAAACTTAGTAAGTTTAGTATCATTTAGTTCCTTGTTTAGTGGAGAGTTCATTGGTGTTGTCAATTTGGTGAGAGGTCGCCGGAGCTGAGAGTAATCGTCGCCGGAAGTTTCGCCGGAAAATTCTCAAAACCTTCGATAAGCTTCGAGGTAAGCCCGTAGATATATCTAGTGACTAGAATGTTCGTATAGATCGTTTCTACGTTCATAAACGGTCGTTTGGGTGAGTTTTGTGTTTGACATGTTTGAAGAACCAAGAATCATAAACCATGAAATTGTTGTTAAAATTACAAATTAATGACTCTAAAATGATCTGTGAACATTGGAGAACATTTTTATATAATTAAATTGAGGTTTGGTGATTAAAAATGATAATGTTAAAACTGACCCGAGGAAGAAGATGATGAACAGTGGCCGAAAATCGATTATTTACTTACTAAAAATCGATTAGAATTTTATTCAGATCAGTGGTTCGAAGTCAGTACCATTTAATCGATTATTTATGTTGTAAAAATCGATTATTATGAATTAATCGATTATTTATATTGTAAAAATCGATTAAAATTAATTAATTGATTATTTAAATTGTAAAAATCGATTATAATGAATTAATTGATTATTTAAATTGTAAAAATCGATTATTATGAATTAATGGATTATTTAAAATTATATAAATCAATTTTTATAAATTAAATGATTATTTTAAATTATTTTCCTCAATTCCAGATCCTGCTAC